TGTATGTGTAAAACTGGTGTCTTTTTGGTTATTCCCGGAAAGAAAATAAATCGTTGACAAACTGTTTTTTCGTCTTATTTTGATGATTGGAGTGGAGTTTATCAGCAAAAGCGGCACAAAAAAAACATCGTTGATTATTGCCCCATTAAAACGAAATAACAATCACATATAACATGTTTTCGACTAATTTTATTGTCGTTTTCATTTTTCTTTTATTTTAAAATGCGACCGCTCGCGACAGATGATGACACGAGTTGTGGTTCAGATAGTCACTGATGCTTTTTCTCTTTCGCTCTTTTTCGTCGTTCGACAATGTCGTTCCGATCGGCTATTTTATTTATGGAATTTGTGCGATTATGGTTCTTTGAATCGTTCTCGCATGTCATTTAAATGCGACATTTCGTTGATAATTGCGAGAAAAATTTGAGTGACAGGCAAGAAATCAACATAAAAAGCAAAGAACCAATGTCTTTTTTTTCATTACTCATTATATTGTGTGTGTAAATAAGAAAAAAAAAGTCGCTTTAAAAGTGAAAAAACTTTAGCACAAGATGTAAATGACACGAAGACTCAGACAATCCAACAGTGCGCATCATATGCCCAGGTCAAATGAACTACAGACGAAAACAACAATGACATCGTTGAAAAGAAAAAGAAATGAAAATACACAAATAGTAAAATGAAATGACATGATATGTAATCAATCGTAAGGCATGTGCGCGAAAGAACCGATATCGCTGGCCATACGATTACAAGCATCGTAAAGGAAAAAAAACCCGAAAAATCCAAACACACACACAGAAAAAAAAACGTCGCATAATACGATCGAAATGAAAAAGAAGCGTATCAAGTAACATTTTATCAAATGTCACATATTGTTAGCTTTGGCTCTCTTTTTTCATCATACATTCAAGCGGCAGCGATTAACGGTTGATGTGCTGTCACGAGTTTTTTTTTCCACCCTTTTTTCTATTGATTGCGTCTGTGGTTAAAAATAGTCGCTCATTTTTGTCATCGTATTTATGAGGCGGAATTCAGATGATAAGTGTGATTCCTTCGATGATGCATACGTGCCATTTCGAACGATAATTCAATTTTAAGTAGCCAATTTAGATGTGGTTTATTTGTTGGTTCAATCACAGCGCTCTTTGACCATTTCAATCGCAAAAAGCGATTGAACATTATTTTTGTTTGACTATTTTTACTGCGAGTATTTGTATTTACATCCCAGTATTGTGGACCCTGCATGAACTTGTCGAAGAATTTCACAACATGTCGCAGCAAGAACGTTGTCGTATGAGAATGAATCGAAGAATTGATATTAATGGCTCATTTAAAAATTATCATGCAGTTTTTGTATCGGCTGCGATTACGACCCATTGAAAAGTGAAATCCGTGTTTTGCGTAATTTCTTTCGGTTTATCGCCTGAGAAGCGACTTCATTGCTTTTCGGTATTGGAAAGAATGCGTCAATTTTTTGGTTGAGTCATTTTCAATAACGATTGTGGAAAAAGAGAGAATGAACAATCCAAATTTCATCAATTGGCTGCCAGCGAATTAATTAAGCATACATCAGAAATTGACTCAAAAATCTAGAAATCGTAATTCATTCAACGTTTCAATATGTTTATAAAATATACAACCTATTGAATTGGCCGATGTTATAAAATACATCTAGAGAATGAGCTACCGAATTATTCGATGTAAAATGTAAATTTCTCTTTTCTTCACCTGGTTTCGATGTGAATAACATTCTCGTTTTGATTATGTTTTGTGTGGTCTGCCAAATATGTTCGTAAAGATGTTACAAAATACAGTTGGCAAGCTGAAAGTCTCGACCAAGCGTTTCTGTTTGTTAAGAAAGGTTCATTTGAACTTCGAGAGACTCGCAACACTTTAGCTCTTAAACTTTTTTGAATGAGAGATCTTAAACATACCCAAAATATGTGGTGTCGTGTTGTGTTCACACGAGGCCGCAACGCGACCGTAATTTTTTCTCTTCTCTACTCTTCTCTCTGCCAGTATTAATATGCGGGCTGCGTTGGATTAGCAGCTAGTGATGATTTCATTGCGCACACAAATGACAAATAAAGACAATAGCGGTTGGAATAGAGAATGGTTGTTCGGTTACATTTTTGAGTGGGACAATCGTTTTCCCATACCAATTAACTATAATTAATGAGAAATTGATTAAAATGTTTATTATCTTGGTTAATTAGCCACTTTCCATTGGCCAGTATTTCATTCTGACAGCTTACTATCTAATGTCCCTCTGTTTTGCCACCGACTTTCATAACACATGGAAGGAAACAAATTATTATGATAACGGATTGAAATAGACTACGATTTGTTTATCACCAATACCGCTTCACTGTCCCATTTTCAGTGTTTGTTTTTTTTTCTTCTTCAAAGTTTAACGAAAACAAAATTCACACATGATTTAACCGGAATCCCATCTTCGAAATTCTGCGTCATTTCAACTGTACAACAGATATGCTAAGATTCAAAACTTCGATATGATTTGTCAAATGAATAATGAAATGAAATGTAAATGACAATTCAAAAACTCGTTTTCGCGAGTGTGTAATTCAATCTGCATGTAATTCAATGAGCAAATATAAAAAATGTCGCATTTTTTTGCGTGTGTGTGTGTGTGTGTGTGTGATGGCATATCCATTTTGCGACGTCGCAATGAATCTGGTTGTGTTCAATTAACCGTGAGACACAAAACCAAGAACTTTTGCACATACTTGTTTTGATACCCGAACGCATTCGAAGTAGCGGCCATTCAAAAAGGCTACTGCTTGAGAAGCAAAATCCAGATGAAATGACAGGCAAAATGGCAAAAGACGACAGATTCCTTTCTGGTCACAAAATAAAGTCGGTGTGTGCTTCTTTCGTTTTCGGAGTCGATTTTTGAGATGAAGATACCGAGATTCCCACAGTCACCGTGTTAAATGTACACATGTAAAACGGTTGAGCAATTCGAAGTGCATTCGAACAGAAAAATGAAGAGACGTTTGTCATAAAAAATGCCCAAACAGCTCAATCATTTGGTGTTCGGTGAAGCGGCTCACTCGGTAAATCGCATTTCACATTATATCCAACAGCACACACTTCTCAATTTCACATTATGTTTGAGAACATTTTTTCCTTCCTCTGGAATTCGGTTTGTTTGTTCGGTCGTTAGACATCAAAGAACGGTTTCAATGGATTTGGTACAGGGAATCGTTTTAAATTTTGCGATAAAGCTGCGAAACAATTATGAATAGTGCTTCCGTTTTGGCAAGAAATTCAGTTTCGAATATCGGACCAATTCCCGTTGTATTCTTAGAATAAAAATCATCGAAAATAGTGAAGATACTTTTTGATGAAAATGTGAGTGAGTGAATCATTTTTGTGCATCGTTTGGCTTTGTTGTTGTTGTTGTTGTATTTCATTTGTAAACTAAGCATGAATATTTAATGCCAACGATTAAGCGATTCACTGCATCGAACTACTTCGATATATAAATTCAAAATCGTGCGACGCTAGCGTTAAAAAAAAAGAATAGCAACGACAATATTACACACGGAGAAAGAGAGAGCAGAGAGACAGCAAGAAAAAATAGGAGGAGTTGCCATATAGTTGAGCCCAGCAACAGCAGCTCAGCAGCAGCTCAGTAGTATATAGAACTGAATTTTCAATAGAATACGACTAACAGCACAAAAATATATCGGTAATGTTGTCGTATTTGTCGCACTCTCGCTCTTGCGTTGATATTTTGTATCTGAAACATAGAACAACAATACAGCGACACATAGCGACATCGGTAGCAGAGACATACACAGCACCAATACATGCGTCGTATCCAACGAACTCGTCGGTCCTCACTCTTGCTCATATACACGCGCGCAAACACACACACACACGAACGCTCATACATACACACATACGGGCGCAGGCACACGATATAAAAGTTGTCATTTTTACTCGTCGTTGGAATCAAGCTAGAATAAAAGAGACACTCCCTGTTCTCGGGCATTTATGCTGACAATGAATTGAACTCCGTCGTCCGAATTTAGGATGCGTACAGGATCCGAAAGTGAGCGAGAGACTGTCAAGTTCTTCGCTAGTTGGATGCTGCAAACTTATCGATTTTTCATTCTATTCGGTAGTTTCGGGCGTAAATTCAAATGCACCTCGTTTATTTTAGATCGATGAAATATTTTCTGTTTTTTGAATTAACCGAATTATAGCGAAAGCACTGAACTCTGTGCTGGAGCAACATGTGTAAATTCGAGCGTGAATATAAGCAAACGTTCGAGCTGAGCGAGTATATATGTGAATGTTGCGTGACTTTTTCATGCAACGCAACAAAATTACATGAAACGTTCGGGAATCTCCCCTGTTTTGTTGTATGTTGCGTTGATTTTGAGGCAAACATGTTGCCTACGACCGAAGAGGTAAGCGGCAACGAATAGCATAGGTGAATCCAAATCAACCAATACATCGATACATACACTCACAAACGGGCACTCGTACGATGCGAGTGAGAAGAAATAGCCACCACAAAATTTCCGTAAAAGCCAAAGCGAAGCGGTAGCAATATGAGCCTGGTGACGATGATGTGGCGCATAAAGCGACATACAGCGACATAAAATAGCGACTGTGTAATAGTGTGTACATTTGGACGACACCCACTTTAATCTCTTTTCCGTCGCATATTCGTATTTGTTGTCTCCGTTGTGTCGTTGTGTGGTGGCTGTGTCTCGTCGTCGTTCTATACGGACAACGTAAAGCGAGAGTGAGAGAGCTTCGAGCTGTGTTATTGTGTATTTGCCACACGCTTATGTATTTCGTGTGTTGCGTGTGTTGAACGTATTTCTCTTTTGGTTTTTGTTTTCATCGGCTTGTTTGCTGTGTCTCTATTTCATTCGGCCGAACGGTGTTTTACATGCATTCGGACACATTCGGCTCTCCTACATACACGGGTGTTGTTGCACAAACGTGCTCGTACGCTTGCGCACTTGTTCATTCGGCATCGAACTGCTTATGCACACATCATCGTCTTCATCAGATCAGTAACGATTCGACATTCGACGAGTGAAGAACTACAGTCACACTATCGCTCAACTATCGACGAAGCACACATTTCGAGTAGAACCGAAGAATTTTTGCTTTTTTTCCACAACTCAAGAAATGTTCTAAGTCCTCAGAACCAAGAATATACCAAAAGTACCAGCAGAAGCAGCAACAACAAAAAACATAAACATATCTTCGTATGTGCAAAGTGAATTTCGAACAATTTTTTTTTTAAATCGAAAAATAAACAGACCTTTTTGTGCATTTTTTTTTTCTTACAAAATAAACATTTTGAATACAAAGTAAGACATTTTTTTGGTGATTTCCGACAAATTTTCGAAGTTTTTCCACAATCATCATCATCAATCGTCTTGGTCTTCGACGCCATACGGTAAATATCCATATTTTTTCTCTTCTACATTTAAGTCAGTTTTAGAATTTATTTCGAAAAGAAGATTCTTTTGTAAAAAAAGTGCTAATAGAATACAAAGTGTTGTTAATTTAGTTAAATCTTTAAAATATTTCCATTTCGAATTGTTTTTTTTTTTTTTTAATTCGTCGCAGAAAAATGTGTGCTTTGATTTGTGGTCATTTTTATTTGACCCGAAAAAATATGCTCGAGCTCGAAAATATTCCAAATGAATTTTACTTAAACCGATTTTTTAGTGTTTCAAAAGCCATTCCAAATCAATTGTTATTTTTATTTTAAATGCGCGATTCGTTTTAGTTTGACACGTTGACATGAATCACGGTGATTTTATGATCGCCGAGTCATCAAATACGCAGAAGCAAGAAGCTTTGAATTGTGTGACGATCGCGGTCTTTGCGATGTAAATCAAATTATTTTATGATGCTTTGCTTCTTGTGCTGTTAACCCGAACCGTGGCTAAAAAGAAAGAGCATATTTTCAAAAGAAGAAATGACCTCCAACACATCGTTAAAAATTTCCATCATTCCATTTATTTTTATGTCCTGTTTCTAAGTTACGTTGTGTAATTTAAAGAATTCTTTCGAGTTTTTTTTCTCTCTGTCCGTTGAAGAAATGTAACAATGTGATTCCGTGACGAATAGGATTGAAGAAGAAAAGAATTAATCCATTTGACAATTTTTCTTTCAATTTTCTTTGTGCATGGCACACATGTTTACCATTCTATTTCCTTTTCAAGTAGTTTCTTTTCAGTCATTTTAAGCATATTTCATTTATCGTTTAAGGGTTCAATGCACACAAAACAGTCAAATTTTTTGAAGTCATCTTCACCCAAAAGAATAGACTATGTCTCTCCGAATCAACGGGCTCCTTAAAGAATTTCACTTTGAAAATGGTTCAAGAACACATTTGAAATGGAACGAAATGCTTCACAGAATTTTGTCTCATCGACAATTGTCACAAATGTCATTATTTTCTCAACGCCAGTAATCTTGATCTTTAGCCAGAGATTAAATGGCACAAAGACTTATTAGGCTTTGTTTTGATTATCTTTTCTTAAATTCTTTCTTATTGCAGAAAAAATAATCTCATTGTATGCGTGTGGTTAGTTCTATTGTGGCATTAGCATTCCAATTTATTTAGAAAAAAAATGATTTTGTTGGTTTCGGATCATAAATCAATTTATATTCAATATCTGTGGCTCCGTTGAAACAATGAAATCTTCCTCACGAACGGTCGATCAAAGAGAGATAGAGAGAGAAACAAATGGAAAAGAAACGAAACGTTGCCCTTTCCAACTCAAATTAAAAAGATGTAAATTACGTGATATTTTTATGGCTAGTTCGTTATTCGATGGCGTGTGCGCACTCGTCCGCTCGCTTGCTAAGGAAAAACGAAGGAAATTAATGAGCCATCACCGAAGACCACGAGAGTGTGGCGAACGGTTTCATTCGTAACGAGGCCCCAATGCAATTCAATCGATTCCACTGACAATGATACGGCAAATCATAAGAGGGTTTATTTTTACTCTCTTCCGACGCTACGATATTTCCAAATTTTTCAATGTCAAGCTATATTACGAATACGTCATACTCTGTTAAGGGTTCATAAATAATTTTTTCTAATCAACAAAAAAGTTATTCATAAGAATGAGGTGAAAAATTGGCGTGACAAGGTGTTTGTGAATGCACCTGCTTCGGGCAATGAAAAGAATCTTCCTGAAATAATTAAGAGGCCGTTTAAAAAACTGTAAAAAACAACAACATTCAATGCGTCACACAAGTGAAAGAACCAATGAGATTCAACCAGATGAGGTGTGAGTGTGTGCAATACACATTTGCGGGCCGTTTTGAAAATTCCCATAGACTTATTTTGTATACGCGCCTTCAATTAATTAATCGCTTTTTCTCGCAGTCTATTCAGAGCATGGCACAAATGACGATACCGTCGCTCAGTCTCATAAATACCTTTGAATAACGATTCACAATGATTCTGTATATTTCGTGTACGCTGCATCGTATCTTCTCTCCCGTTCATATGCCTATGCATATACCAACCAATCAGTCAGCCAGCTGGGCAGCCAGCAAGCGCTATAATGGCTCTAGAGAGCGTGGTGTGAACGAGTGAATAATGATAAAAGAACAGTCATAAAGAAAATCACAAACATACTGTAGCACCAAAGCGAAATCAGTTGTCATCTTTCGTATCGTCGTAATCATCGGAGCATAAAAGCGTTCATTTGCGCACATAGATACACATCCGATCCATTGCTATCGAAATGCGTACACCACCGTACAGCTTCTAAGTATCCGGCTCTTATTGCAATGCCTGCCAAATGTAAATTCTCTATGACAAACGACAAACATTGCGGCACATACACATTAAGCCTCTCTCTCTCTCTCTCTCTCTCTCTCGGTGTGTCTTTCAGTTATGCTGTGCATACACAGAAACCTCATGTGATGTGCACGCAATAAACATTCAGCTTTTATGTTTCGATTATTATTATTCAAGCCGATGTGATTATTGCCGATTCTCGCGGAAATCAAAAGCATCTCAATGCATGAAATATAATGATGATTGTTAGCATTACGTTTGTTGGGCTGATAGCAGAAATAGAGACGTTGCATTTCCCTAAACTTAATGCATTTCGCGACGGTGTGTGACTTTATGGAGTTTCGAAAGCATTATTTATTCGCAGCACATGGATTAATTGAGAAAACCAGACAATTTGAAGCATCGCACGTATGCGATATGATGGGCCTGTGTGATTTCGATCTCCTTCAATCTCATCAGAGAAAACGCACATAAAAAATCATGTCCCGTTCTCATGCTGTGCGTAGTTTCCTTTTTTCTTGTCTCTTTTTGTCTCCTCTTCGCGTATTATTTATGGTCACCACATTTCTCTTACATCTTTACCGACACTCACCTCAATACTTCGAACGATGCACATAGATTTAGTTCTTTTTCTACCTTGGAATGATCTATTAAATATAAGTTTTTCTCATTTTATTGTTTTTCTTTCGAACACAAATCTTATTTTTTTTTTTGCTTTTTTTCTTATATTTTTCTCGACAGATTCTTTGATTAAAACGTCAAAAGAGACACACACACACAAAAATGCAACTGTTTGATTTTCGTAATTTGGGCGCTTCAATGGAAACACAACCAGCCGAAGCAGCTGAAATGATTTCACAGCAATTTTTGGAAGCGCAAAGTAAATTGCACTTTGAACAGACGTTGGCTCGCCACAAAGCATCGGCAGTGTCACAACCGAAAGCAAAACCTCAATCGAAAAAGATGCGCAACGGATTCATTCCAAACGATATTGGAATCTCATACATTGACCCATCGACCGGCAAAAAGCGAATTCAATGCAACGTATGCTTCAAAACATTCTGCGACAAAGGAGCCTTGAAGATCCACTTCTCGGCCGTTCACTTGAAGGAAATGCACAAATGCACCGTTGAAGGATGCGTCATGATGTTCAGTTCACGTCGTTCGCGCAATCGTCACAGCGCAAATCCGAATCCAAAATTGCACTCACCCTACTTGCGCCGCAAGATTTCCGCATATGATGGTCGCAGCTTGCGTGCATCAGCATACAATGGTCCAATGCTACCGCCAGAATTCACACAAACCATGCTCCCTGCTGTCAATCCAATAATGGCTCTATCGTTGAATATGTTGCGTCGCGATCCAAATTTCAATGCAACGTCACCAATGAACCAACCGAATCCATACATATGCTCAACCATCTCAACATCGTCGATGATGTCAAGCCCGAAATCATCATCGCACAGCAGCACCGACGACGACAAATTCTATATTAAAGCCAATTCAATGCGTGGCTCATCGATAACACCACCATTAACGCCACCTATTGACACAATCACCGAACGACCAATGTCCTATTCAAAATCGGTCAGCATGAAGCGCAAGCGCAAGAGTGAGAAACCCATTCGATACGAAGCATTGAGCAATCACGACGAACCATTGGATTTGATTAACAACGAACATAAAGTCAAGCGCTTCCACGAAGAAGTACAATCCGATCTTCCGCTCGACTGCAGTCGATCAGGAACCACAGCCACTTCAAACGAAAGCATCCATGACGAAGAAAACATGGTGTTGGATCTATCAGTCAACAAATCAAAGAGAAGCAAAAGCGATAATAAAGAAACTGGCCATACCGAATCAATCTCACCCGCATCACCGCCAAAGGTCGACGATAATATGCAACGCAAACACGACATCTCTAATTGGATTTTGAATGCTGTACGACAAACACAGCTCAATACAATTTTGTACAGTCAAATGAAAATGCCACCAAGCATCTCAGTCGGTTAAGCGAACGTACAAAACGCGATTGACAAAACAAAAATGAAGCCATTTTAAAATGTTATTTAGATTGAATTTCTTTGTATAGTTAAGCGTATTAATGTAGAGAAATTGATCAAATAAATTGTTTTTGAGTTGACTCGAATTGCCAAAATAGCTTACTCATGATAGCATGAAAGAAGAAGAAATCCTTTTTCATTTCGATAAGAAACGATACTGAGATGTGATCGTTTCATTTCAAAAGAAAAACACGTTGTTCTTAAAAGCTATGAATATATCTCTGTCTGTACAAATTTTTATTGATTTAATATACACATAGATTATATAGATCATAAGTTTATCATCTCAATAAACAAGACTTACACTACTTAACGGCATAGTGATAATTTCACTTGATCGATTTTACTCCGTACTATATTTAGTGCAATTCAAATGCAATGTTAATATACGAAAGCCGATGTATGAACGGTTCTGATTTAAAAAGAAGAAAAGAGAAAACAACTATGTGTAATAATATACTTAAAAAATCGAATTGTAATATTTGATGGACTATTAATAGTAACTGATTATGATGGAAATAAAAATCGTACATATAAAAAAAATACAAACATGTTTCGCATTTTAATGATTCCAGTTGCTTTCTACAGTTAGAATGCTCTTGTTTCGGAGATCGAGAGGAAAAGAAATCGCAATTTGTCTTCTTCAAATTGGAACAAAAAAATACCCTTCATAAAAGATCACCGTCATAGCCCAGCAAAAGATAATTCCATCAAGTCGTGTAATTTCTCATTTTCAGCGTCATTCAAGCAATTAGTCGTAAGAAAAATTGGGAAAAAAGTGTGTGTATGTGGATTTGGTCAAACGTAACATACTTCTGTTACGCGAACGATTTCAGTGGAACGAGTGAGGGTTGGCGCCAGATTGTCTTTGTAACACATTAATCATTCTTAATCATTTAACGAGATCAGAAACAAAAAAGACAAAAATACCAAGAGTGAAACATTCGGTTCGTGAGCAAAAGTCTCTTCCGGTGCATGACCAATTGTGTTGCTGCCGCGCTGCTGAATGTTCTTGTTGATTTCAGCTCGCGAAATATTCTCTCTTAAACCTACACGAAATGTTTCTTTCAACAAAAAAAAAAATTTGTACAAGATTCATAATGCAGTGATGACATTTCGTATGGTATTTAATTAAAGTCTTTAGTATATTTCTAGCATTCGTGGACCACAAATGAGCTGATTTCCTTAGAAAAACCAACAGTCATTCGAATTTATTAGAAGACAGCAGAAAAAACCATTCGTGACATATTTCTCAAGAGTTGAAATGCGAGCAGAAAAGGGCAAACGACATCGGTTACAGAGGAACGATTAAAAATTCAAAATGAGACGGCGAAATTCCGTTTGAAATCATCACCATCCGAACGGAGGGGACTTGAAAAATTCACTACAATACCACTGTTCCATTCATGGCTACGCATTCGAAGTGAGCAGTGAAAAATACAAAAGCAGCCAAAATAAATTGTAATCGTGTGATGTAGCGGTTGTTTGACAACATTACCGAATGCGCACGCCAAATGCCAAACGAATTCGTTTTGTTTTTTCCTTTTCGTTTTCGTTAAATAGGTGAATTATATTTAATTAATTGTATTTGTTTTTCTGGCGAAACAATGCTGAGGTATTTGCTTGTGCCATTTGTTATGGACGACAACTTCAATTGCTTGTTTTCCTCGCACTTTGGTTCTTAGCCAAAATTGTACGTTTTCGAAATAGTATTTTAATGTAATTTGAGAAGAGCAATTCATAAGCTATTTTCCGCGTGCGTTTTTTTCCTCCGTTTGTGTGTGTATTTTCCTTTTTCATTTGAGATAGAATAAAAACGATGGAAAACAAAGAGAAAAAAATGTATTTTTTTTAGGGTAGTTGCATTGCACGCTCCTTTGCATTTTTAATTTGATTTCTTTTTTTTCTGTGTGTTGAATGTTCCATTGTTTTTGCTTGGGGTAGAAAAAAAATATGCAAAGATAAAAAGATTATGCTCGACACGATGGCCTTTGAGATGTGGTGAACAACAAACGGAAGCAAACAATGACGAGTTTTTAATTCCTGCTCAAGTAGTTAAACAAATTAAGCAATTTAACCGACCACAAGGAATTGAAGAGAAGAAAAAACGAAGAAATAAACGACCTAAAATTAAATCTTATTAGAGCAAATGACGAATTTTTAATGACGATTTGCCTTAAGCCAAAAGTCTATTTATTACGAAAAAAATATGATCCTGTCACTTCATAAGTAAAATTAATTACAGTTGAGCTCTAATTTCGGCAGGGCAACAAACGAACATTTCCGGGAAATTCACAATAAGAGGTAGGCATTAAGGAATATAAATTCTAATATTTCAATGTAATAAGCAACAGGTGAGTTGGTGCATGAACAAAAGTCACATATCATCCAAATACACACACACACCTAAAATTACCTCAATAAAAAAAACACTCAACGATGGAATCAGTGACAACTAAACGTCACCATACTGCCACTGCGTACGAAACGAAATAGAAAGAAAAAGAGATCCGACGCGATAACATCTACAATGCGTTAGAAAGGGGACTGTGTGTGTGTGTGCAGGCGAAACAGAAAAACCAAAAGATATGACAATGATAGACCGAAAATATTTGCTCGTACGACAAGTTCTATTGTTTTCTTCTTCTTTTTTTTCTTATTCGGTTCCGAAGTTCCGATGAATTTGAAGGGAAAAACCAAATAAATAACAGACAAACGATAGGAATGTGCTTACCACATTCCCAGCGAAAAAAAAAATCAACACAAAGAATTGCCGAACTGTGGAGATATGTGTTGCGTTAAATGTGACAAAAGACGATAAAAATCCACCCTCATGTTTTTATTTTCCAATTCTGGTGCTGCTTTTTTTTCTCGTTCGGTTTTTTTTTTCTTCGCTTCCACCATCAAATATACTGCGAGTGGCTCTTGCAGCATGCTGGTTGTTATTGGATTCGGCTTATGCTGATGGTGATGTTAAGCCAAAGTCACTCGTATCCGATTGCAATTCACTCTCAATGCTCTCGATATCATGCCGCCGGTGGTTGATACAACCATTTGTGTTCGCAATCATGTCACAAAAAAGGCAATATGTGAACCAGAAAAAAGCCGTCTAAGACGACAAGCGAAATGGCTCTTCAATGAAGGGGGAGCAAATCGAACAACAAACTCCGGCATTTCCATTGATGGCTGCTATTATTCCTGTAATTTTTACCACGCATTTGTTTGCTTTTTGTTAATGGTTCTGCGTGGATATTTTTTTTTTTCGTTGCCATTTACTGCACTTAACATCAATTGGCACACTTTACGAACACCCTGCGATAAATCTATTCGCTTCGAATGCCGGGGATATTGATACCCGAATCATAATCAAAATTGATGATTTTCGAAGAGATTATGAAAACCGAACAATTGATTTATTAGCTAATAAGTGATTTTACCTCGATTCTTCGAAAATCGTTCCAGAGTGTAAACAACGTGCGTGCGTCTATATCTGTGCTTGTGCTCGTGTTTGCATGTACTTTATGCTGTGCAGATAATGTTGGGATAGTTTTCAATTTTGCAAAAGTTATGTTTATGGCAGACAAATGAGAGTCTAGGTAATTGTCAAAGGACGATGTAGACTAATAAACTTTCTACGTTCTCCTTTATTCCTGACCGCAACACGTACTTGATTCTCGGAACAGAGATAGACATATAGAAAGTCTTTGAACGCAATACATGCACTGCATAGAAGAATGTTTTATGATTTTCCTACCGAAAGACAAGATGTGCGCCTTTGACTTTTAACCGCAAGGAACATTGGTGCAGGGCACATGTTCAATTATTTAAATTAATTAGAAAAATTTTCCACATCAAAATGCCTGCCACAACGTCCAGTGGTCGAACGATGCAATAAATGTGGTTTGATCAACGTCTCTCTGGTGGCCAGTTAAGAAGGGAACGAACATTTACAGCATTTCGAGAATGCACTGCATAGAAATAATAATGCAACTGGAGAAACAAACACACCACTGCTATAATTTCTTGTAATTTTCGGAGGGTATGGCGTCCATACCATGGACTATTTATGGATTGATCGTGACGTTTACAATATTAAAATTGAAATGATTCTGGAATGCAGTTTTCCATTCGGTTTTCTTTTGATTCTTTGTTGAACATTGTTTTAAAATCCCTTTTCAGGTCAATCGGTCTAATAAAATCGTCAGTGTGGAACACAATTGCATTGACAACTTGATGCATTTTCCCACGTGTTACGAAAACGGCGATTCGAAATGTAATAATTTAATCGTCATAAATGAAGCGTTCATATTTGCGATTGCAACTAAAACTAATTACAATAATATGATAAGTTCCATGAAAGGCCGTAGAATGAAAAAAAAAAAATAAAATCCTTATTATTTTGATGTAACGTTGACGAGCTTTTTAATTTGTGTTTAAAAGATTTGCTAAACATGCAATTCAACAACAGAATCGTGCATGATAATGCCGTGAAGCCAGCCGTTGCAATCGAGAGAGCTGCACGAGCATCTCAACGATCGACACATTAAAGAACGTTTTAATGAAAGAAAAACAAAACGTTCCTAGTACAAAGTTGTATTTTGTCTGGTTTGCCAAACACAGCACTTGCCTCTCTCGACACAGCGACCGGTGGAAGATGGAAAAAAAAGCACAGTGGAAAAACAGCAAACGCAAACATATAATTTGATATCGTGTTATTATTTGAACTAAATCGATTGCATCGACTACTGACTCCTAATGCTGGCGATGACTCATCTCATTTCTTGCGGTTTTCAGATCGTCTCGGAGCCTCTTTTGTTGACAGCAACGTCACAGAGACGGTCGACCGGTCGCGCAGTGCAACTCGATTCCTTCTGGTCGGGTTCAACAGAACAATTTAAATTATGTCTGTTATTTTATGAAAATTATCAAGCAATCTCGAGACCTATGAGTGAGTGAGTGAGTGAGTGTGTGCTTGCTTGCTCTCTGTACACCAAATTGCACATTCAACCGTACACTGAACAACGAAAACCTTCAAATATGTATAGCTTATAAGGCACAAATCTTCTTCCATCGATTCGGTACACGAAGACGACGCGCGGTGCAAAGGATTTTTACTTTCCGGCCATCACATTGCTGCCGCACCGGCAATGAAAAACCGAACAAAATGAAAAATTATCCACTGAAATTGTTTCACCTTTCTGCAATAAACTAATCAACTTATTCATCAAGTGCTCCGTACGTACGTTATGTGTGCCGTGCTGTGCTGTTTGACTCGCTTGCCATGGTATGCATAGTTTGGCCGGTTATCTCTTTCGCATTTGCCACTCAGTTTCTTTCCAATTTTTATGAAGCTTTTCGAATCGACAATTGAACGGGTAAAAAAAAAAAATGTGGAAGCAGGAGCTGTGCAGCGATAGCAAGCAGCAACATAAAACGACACACATCGGAATGTATATGCACGTTTGTGTTGCACACACGCGATGCTTTCGAAAAATTCCCACGTCAAGAATATAGAATTTTAAGCATAATCCATAATGTGTGAA